AAATTCTTTGTGATTCTGTAGCGCCAGTTTATTAAAACAGTTTTTTTTTTTTTTTGTTATCGCCCTTTCTAGCATTGATGGGAGTTTCCTACCTAACCTTTTGTCTAAAGTAGTGTGGAAAGTCGACATCTTGATTATACCATCATTTTCCCCATTCTAGTTACACATGCTATTCATATTAGTTGTTGCTGGTTGAAGTATTCAAGATGCTTCTTGTTATTCGGTAAAGTTCTTTGTGAGTCTGTAAAGCTAGTCTATAGGGTTTGAAGGTCTAGGTTTTCTTTAAGACTTAGAGCAGCGCCCTCAATCATTTTCTGCCATGGTTTGGTGTCATTCAAGACAATTTTTCTATGGATCAGGGGTAGGGGCGGTGTTGTCACACACATAACAAAACCCAGTAAGCAAGACCGTAAGAGTCAATAAAATGGAAAATAAAAATAGTTTTTATTCTTTCTATGCGGCCTGGTACCAAATGGCCCAAGCCCATTGGTTGGACACCGCTGACCTAGAGGATCCATTGCTTGGAGCCATTTTGAATCATTGATCTGATAAAATGGTTAATAGTATGGACATTCCTGAAGGAGTTGGATGTCATGCATGACTTCCATATGAGAGTCTATAGCTGATGAGTCTTCAGTTCTTGGATTAATATTTGGGTTTTGTAACATCTACATTTGGACAAGATCATTCATTTGTATATCACGTAATTTTGTTTTTCTTCTTCCTACTATTCTTTACGTTAGTAACATTTGGGAGTGTCTTAATTTGTCTGGCTACAGTGTACCGTTTTGGCAACTTACATATCATATAGATAATTAAAATTAGTCACATATTTCATGAGATAAAATATGAGACTTTAGTAAAACAAAATGGAGAACGATCAGTAGAGAAGAAAAAAAAGGCATCTGAATAACAAACATAATTTCTACCGAAGCCTTAAAAAAACAACTGTAGAATGATAGAGAGGAAAACCTGGATATGAACTTGTCTTGTACTATTAAAATTCTGCAGCAGGTAAGCCTCCTTGCCAAAGAACGTATATTACATTTGATCTTTAGTGAAAAGATCTTTTGTAGCATCGTTAACATAAAATAAATGCAATTACCACACCATTGCTGTATTATCATTATTATTATTTTTCATCCTTAGCAACCCATGCTTATGCAAATTTAGAAAGCTTGCTGTTTATTTACATAATATCACAGGTAGAATTTATTAAACTCATCAAAATTCCTATTCACGTCAAGGATTACATTTACAGTTGGTCCTCGTTATTTGTTAAAGTTTTGTGATTATGTAGCGCCAGGGCTTGATGAAGGATTGTTTTTTTTTAACACCTAGAGGATTCATTGCTTAGAGTCATTTTTAATCATTCATCTGATAAAATAGTTGCATACAGTTGATAGATTAGACATTTCTGAACATTTCTGACATCCATATGAGAGTCTAGATCTGATGAGGCTATTTAAAAATATGACTCGAATTCTTAGGTTAGTGCTTTTATTTTATCGCATCTTACGTGGGTAGATGAAACTAGCCATAGCGCAGCCTATTATGTGTTCAGTTTCCTTATCGCCTACATTAAATTTGTTATAACTGACCCTCAATACCAGGCTGACAGCCACATCATGTTGAAATACAGGTTCCCGTGCGATCAGTAAAGTTAAGCGACGTCGAGCCTAGTCACTTGCTAAATGGGTGACTGCTTGTTAATACCAGGTGCTGTCAGCTTGGATGTGCAGATGGTGTTATAGATAATGGCTCGGAATTGTTAATCGGAGAGCCGAATTCGAATTCCCGTTCGGTTCATTAAATTTCTAAAACAGTTTCTTTTCTATTTCTGTTTCCAACAGTTTCTTTCCTCGCACTTCTCACCTGTGGAACACCCTTCTGATCTCTTGCTTCCCCGATAACTACAACCTTCAACGCACAAATACCCTTGGAAAAGGTACGAAAACACCTCTTCTCTCAGCTATGCGTTAATTAGTAAGATTCATATCGCTAAAACATTATTATCTCGTCCCTCACCATATTCTTACAATCTAAAATTAATTTCTGGCCTTAACCTGCGAAAGGTTTATAAGCCGTAGACTTTGAATCAATAATCTATATACCGAGGTGCCTAAAGTGTTTAGAGTTTATGAATTGCACATTCTGAATTTATATGATGGATTCGGGCTATGTTCAAGCCATCAGTGCTTTCATTGCAATCCTTGATCATAGTTTCCTATTGAAAAGAATGTTGATTTTTTGTTCAAGATCTTTCTTATACCAACTATGAATACCTATGTCATCAGCATACTCCTTAAATCATCGTCGGCACTCTGGCCTCGGGGGTCAAAAAAATCAGCTGTTTTCTATTAGTAAATTCAGTTGGGATGTGTCATGGAATGATTAAAGCAGTGATTCTCAACGTGTGTCTAAGGACACACGAATGGGCCTGAGAAATTTTTGAAACGCGTCTGTAGGTGACCCATACCCCTCAAATCATCGTTGGCACTCTGGCCTCGGGGGTCAAAACAAGTCAGCTGTTTTCTATGAGTAGATTCAGTTGGGATGCGGCATGGAATGATTAAAGCAGTGATTCTCAACGTGTGTGCTCAGACACACGAGTGGGCCTGAGAATTTTTTTTTAAACGCGCCTGTATCTGACCCAAGGAAAATAGGTAACTGATTGCAGATTGAAAAGAGAGGAGATTTACGCTCGAAGGTGAACCAAAGCTTGGAATTTGAACTTGACAAGCTAATAGATAGACGGACACAAGGATCAGTGTCGACATTAGTCAGGGTTTATACTTTCTACTCCATTGAATACTGTTGCCAATATCTGGTCTGGTCTCCTGCTGTATACCTCGTGATTCTTGACAAAATCCAAAGAAAGGTCTCTGTAATGTAATCGACCCTGACTCGGCATCTCGATTTCAGTCACATTATCACTGACGTGACATGTCTTTTCTCTGTCTTTTCTACAAATATTTTCATGGAAACTTCTCTAGTGAGCTTCCCCTCCCATTGTTACCCCGACTACATGAATTTAAGAGAGCTACTAGATTGGCAATTAGATCTCATCGCTTTACTGTTGAACTAGCTAGATGCAACCGCCATTTTTATTCCAACAGTTTTTTTTTCTCGCACTTCCCACTTGTGGAATATCCTTCCGATTTCTTTCTTCCCTTCAAAAATTTAAATGTAACGTCAATCACCATCTTCTCTTTTCATTGTTTTTTTTTTGTCCTTTCGTCAATCCTCCCCATTCTCTGCCTTCTCATTCACTTTCACTCCTTGTAAACTCATCCGTTCTAGTGTTCCTTATCGCCTTGTTTAGAGTGAAATGATTTAAAAAAGATAACATTTTGCTCTTGGAATTTTTATTTGTGCTTATGCGGGCCTGAGATTTTTTTGACACGAAAACTGAGCCACAAGGAAGAAAACCCTGGCTTAAAAGAATCATTCTTCTTGTAGACGCGCAGATCATATTTTATAAAGTGGTTAAACACATTGGAGCTCGCATTTCTTCCTTGTTGTACTACTGATGACGTTTGAAATGATTTACTGTTTGGGTCGTCAGCAGACATATACGACTTTTCGGATCGATCTAGGTCCTCTTTGGGTCTATGCATGTGTGTGCGATTGCGTTTGTATGCGTATACCTGTCTGTCAACATGTGTGTGCCGGCGCGTGTTCATGTGTATGTGTGAAACGACGCGTTCGTGCCAGTATGACAAGCTGAACTTCAACCTTTATAATGAAACCTGTCCTTCGCGGTCTAATCATGTGGTCTTCTCCCTTCCTTCCTTATTTTGTCCGTTCCCCATTTTCTCCCGCTCCTCCTACTTTCTCCCTTTATTATCGTTATTCCTGCCTCTTCTTATTCCCTCTCTTACCATTATCCTCCTTCCACCACTTTTCTCATCCTCTCTTCTCCTCCACACTTTCCCCCCTTCTCTACACTCCCTTCTCGCTCTTTTCTCCTCTCCCTACTCCCTATTCTTCAAATTACATTATTTCATAACAAAGGTAAACTAAAAATAATTCTTTTACAGCGATGACAATGTATAGAGTTGATCTCTGTTATTATCATCAGCAGCAGCATCGTCTTCTATATGCCGTGTCCCTTCAGGACGTAGACAATCATGGCTCTCCACAACTTCCTACCCTTCATAGCTCTTACCTATATTTGTCTTCAAAATCTGCTTGCGTCCTATACACCGAAAGTATGAACTTACGGCTATATCATGTTGACACATCAGTTCTCGTACGATCAACGAAGTTAAGCAACGTCGAGCCTGGCCAGTACCTAGATGATTTATCGTTAGGAATATCAAGTGCTGTAAATTTGGATGTGATGCGCGCGGGTGGTGGAATGGATAACGGCTCGGAATGAAAAATAAGTTCGAATTCCGGTCGGGTTCGTTGCATTCACTTACGCGCAAACACGCTTGAGAAAAATATGATTTCTCGTCATCCCCCAGCTATGGGTTAAATAGTAGGATTTGTATCTGAAAAATCATAATTATCCCCTCAAAATTGTTAATACAATATTTACTCACAAAAAATAATTATTCTTATAATACTCAAAAAGGTTTCGCTCTTAAATAACTTAATTTGGTTGCTATAGTGTCCTCCCCCCCAAAAAAACAAAGAAATCAATCAATCAATCAACCAAAAGTATGAATAAAAAATAAATAAATAAAAATAATTTTCCGAGAGAAAAATTGTTTCATTGATTTCTTTTCTACATTTTATGAACCCTTTTGCATGTTATTTAAAGCCAGAAAATATTTCGAGATTGTAAGAATGTTATGGAGATGATGACGATTTTATGATACAAGTCCTACTAATTAGTCCTTAGCTGTGGGGGGGGGGCGAAGAGATGGATTCATACCTTCCCCAAGTGTACCGTCGCGTAAGTGAATACAACAAACCCAACTGGATTTGGAACTCGGCTCTGCGATTACCAATTCTGAGTCGTTATCCAGTTCACCACCCGCACATCCAGGTTTGCAACAACAGGTATTCCCAAGCGGTAATCCATCTAGGTAATGATCAGGCTCAACGTTGCTTAACTTTGGTGATCGTACGAGAACCGGTGGTTCAACGTGATTTAGACGTAAGACCTAAAAATGCATTGGAAAAAAGGAAAAATAGATTATCAGCAGTAAAGAATTATTGGGTTAGAATAACTTATAATTATTTCATTATCCCAATTGTTTTTTTTTTATTTTATTTTAGAATGTTTTTTTTTTTAGATTGACTGTCTTTGACGGCTTATCAACCTTTTGCAGGTTATTTAAAACCAGAAATATTTTTAGATTATAAGAATTGGGGGGGGGATAATATTGATTTTCTAATACAAATCCTACTAATTAATCCATGGCTGGAGGGCGTGGAAAGAAATGGATTCAGACCTTTCCCAAATGTATTTGCTTTGTATTTGAATATAACGAACCCGATTGAAAGTGCAACTTAGCTCTCCGATTTCCAATTCCGAGCCGTTATCTATTTCACCACCTGCACATCCTAGCTTACAATCACCCATCTAGGTACTGATCAGGCTTGATGTTGCTTAACTTCGGTGAGCGATTGAGAACCAATGTTTCAACGTGATTTGTCCGTAAGACTCAAGGGGAAAAAAGAAGATTAAAAGATCTCTAGAATAAACGCTAAGAACGTGATTTAGACGTAAGACTTGGAATTTGAAACTCGGCTCTGCGATTACCAATTCTGAGTCGTAACGCGGTGCATAGAATGTCAACATTGTTATTCCTACGTTAGGGACACGATAGGGAAGACAAAAGAGCTTAACGTTGACTTAGGACGGGGAATTATTAACTTCTACAAGTCGGAAAATAGTTACAGCACTATGCTCATATGCTGTGGAGAGTGTTGTCCATTTAAGCTTTTGTTATTGTTAATAGCCGTCTTTTATTTAATTAAGTGGAACCAACATACTTCGATTGCTATAGGTCATTCGAAATAATTGGCAAAAGGTTGATAAGCCGTCAAAGACAGTTAGTCTAAAAAAACATTCTAAAATAAAAAAAAATTGGGATTATTATTATTATTCCTTCCCAGAATATTTATACTTTTTAATCTTGTGCTTACAAAAGGAAAAAAGAAAGAAAGAAAGAAAGAGAGAGAGAGAGAGAGAGAGAGAGAGAGAAGAAAGAACGGACGAAAAAAAGAAAGAGAGATACAAAGAAAGAAAGAAAGAAAGAAAGAAAGAAAGAAAGAAAGAAAGACTTGGTGATAACGTCTGCTTCAGTGAAATAGAATTTCTTGTCATGTAAAATGATAAGGACCCTTACGGCAAATATGATCATTTTTAAAACAAAGTAGTCTATTATTATTATTATTGTTGTTGTTGTTGTTGTTGTTGTTGTTATTATTATTATTATTATTATTATTATTGCTATTGCTGTGGCTCCTCCATAAGTTAATAACTTAGAAACAGATTTGTTATGCCCTGCCATCACCTCAGCTAAATAATGGACCTTTCCGTTTTGACTGCGAGGAAACACGAAAGAGAAAGATGTATCAGAGACGCTGTTTAGTTTTGGTGAGATAAATGGAAGCATACATAAGAAAGAAAGAAAGAAAGAAAGAAAGAAAAAGAAAAAAGAAAGAAATAAGACATGGTGATAACGATCTCATGCACTTAAAGTCTGCTTAATTGAGATGGAAAACTTTGTCAATTGTTTGATTGTGTTTTTGTTTAAAAAAATCCATATTTGATCAAAGATCAAGACCACGTAAAAAGGGATGAAAAAAAAAGAAATAACGAAAGAAAGAAAGAGAGCTACAAAGAAAGAAAGAAATAACGAAAGAAAGAAAGAGGGATACAAAGAAAGAAAAATGAAAGAAAGAAAGAAAGAAAGAAAGAAAGAAAGAAAGATAGATAGATACAAAAAAGAAAAAAAGATATAAAAAAAGAAAGAAAGAGGGATACAAAGAAAGGAAGGAAGAAAGAAACTTAAGAGAACGCAAAATAAATAACGTGAAAAAAAGGAGAGAAAAAATACTTATGCTTATCTTTTTACCCCATAAACCATTTTTTTATTTAATTTATTTATCGACATATAACTTTGAACAATATTTATACTTTTTAATCTTGTGCTTACAAAAGGAAAAAAGAAAGAACGAAAAAAGAAAGAAAGAAAGAGAGAGAGAGAGAAAGAAGAAAGAACTAACGAAAAAAAGAAAGAGAGATACAAAGAAAGAAAGACAGACTTGGTAATAACGTCTGCTTCAGTGAAATAGAATTTCTTGTCAGTTTTTAATCTTTTCATTTGTATCCACTTACTTCTTTTAAATAATTATCAGCATTCGTATTCATCATTGTTATTGCAATATTTTGTTAAAGTTGTTAAGCTCAAATATTTAACAACGTAATGAGGGAATTTCCATGGGTTTTTATTTAGTCTTGGAACTTGCTAGGACCTTGTTCAGTCATTTAATTAAGTATTGTTATTCATCTGACATTCTGAGCATGAGACTCGGTTTCGAATCTCACCATTGTCGATTTGTCAGGAAGGAAACTTCCAGATGTTATCAGACTGGAGGGGTCGATCCCAGCGTTGGCAAGTGCATGAAAACCATACCCAAGCCTTGTGAGTGAAATTGCGTAGACGGAACCCTTGGGGACCGTCAATAGCTGTGCTAGTATTAAGTCACAAGTCATCATGGCCGTGGCTTTGAGCGTGCTGACTTTGTTCAAATTGTTGATCACGCTAGATAACACAATCCTTCCCAGAAACTATAACTAAGGTCTGCTCAGCATAGTTGCAGTATAAACCACAGGTGGGCTCTGTGGGTGTTGTATAAGCACAAATGCGCCTGAGCAAGCGTATGCAATAGGGATTGACTAGCCACTGTAGTGGACGGGTATCTTCAAATACGAGTGGTCAGCTATACATTTACCCTATACATGATTCATTTGAATATTAAAACGGGAAAATTGCGAAATTTTCACACTGTTAGTTATTATCATTATTTAAAAATTTTTTTTAACCTATATTTGTTTTAAAATTCCATTTGACGAGTCATTTCGAATGAGCTATAGCAATCGAAGTATGTTGGTTACACTTAATTAAACAAAAGACGGCTATTAACAATAACAAAAGCTTATATGGACAACACTCTCCACGGCATATGAACTGTGTTTGTTAGAACTATTTTTTTGATTTCCTGGAGAGATGCTATACCAAGGATTTTGTTGATTTGTTCTTCAGTTCTTTATCAGACACAAAGCTCCAACCACAACAGGAATATTTGCCACATTTTTTTTTTCTATTTCTATCTCGGGGTTTTTGTTTATGACTAGTCTTTCAAAAACCATCTCAGAGTTGTTTTTGCCATTTGGCACGCTCATGTCAATTAGTGTGCAAATTTTTAGTTTTTTTCTGTCTTTGATATGTCTGGGTGATTTGCTTGTATTGCTCGATTTTTGTTGATAGTAAAAAAAATCGTTGCTGTTGTAGTTATTATTATTATTATTATTATTATCATCATCATTCGATTTCTGCTATGGACACACTACCTACCAAGTCTGCGGAAAGACCTAAGGCAGGTCGTGGTGTGTTGTTATGGCCACATTTCATGTTAATTTTTTTTTTTTTTTTTATCTCCGATGAAGTTGCTAGCGTTACATAGACAAAGTTCTCCTTAGTGTGTGTGCTGTACTTAATAAGACAATTTTCTGTATGTCTCTTAAGCTGGGGTTTCAGGGATTCTTTCAATGTGTTGTTTTGTTCCATTTTTATAATTCCAAGTGCACCTATTACCACTGGTATTATTCTTGTTTTCAATTTCCACATTTTTTCTATTTCAATTTCCAGGTCTTTGTATTTTGATAGTTTTTCAAATTCCTTGGTTGCTATGTTACAATCCGCTGGACAAGCCATATCAATTAGTAGGCAAGTTTTTTCTTTCTGGTTTTTGACAATAATGTCCGGCCTATTTGCTTCAATTTTTCTGTCTGTGTGGATGGTATAATCCCATAGAATGGTGACATCTTCTATTTCTGTAACCGGCGCTGGCCGATGTTCATACCAGTGTTTGCTTACACATTTTCCAAAGTGTTTGCACATTGTCCAGTGTAAGTATTGCCCCACTCTATCGTGACGATTTTTATATTCATTTGGGGCAAGTATAGAACATCCTGAGATTAGATGGTCTATTGTTTCTTGGTATTTGTCACAGAACCTGCATTTTGGATCCACATTATTATGTATGATATTTGCCTGAAAATTCCTAGTGAAAAGACTCTGGTCTTGCGCTGCAAGAATAAAGCCTTCAGTTTCAGACTTTAATCCAGATGCTCGTAACCATCGATGAGTATTAACTTTATCAACATTGGGTTTATTTGCACGTTCTGGATATTGGCCATGCAGAGGTTTGTCTTGCCAGCGTTGTTTCATCTGTTCAAGGGCTTTATTCTTGGCTTTCTTTTTCATATCTTTTGCTGCAATAGTTGGTTCTTGGCTTCTGTTTTGATTTACTACAGAATCTACTAAATGTAAATGTTGTTTGTATTTACTGCCTTCTTTTATTATTGAATATTTTTTCTTTCTGTTTTCATGTTGTTTCACTAATTTTATCATCCAGTCATTTGTTGTTTCCATGTAAGTTAGTAAGCCAATAGTTGTTGTCTTGTATGACAATTCTAGCTGAATAAGACCTCTTCCACCTTCTTTACGGGGTATGTATAGACGGTCTACATCAGCCTTTGGATGATGCATCTTATACTTAGAAAGAAGCTTTCTTGTTTTAGAATCCATTTGTCTGATGTCATTTAGAGTCCAGTTCAAGATGTTGAAACTATATTGGACCACTGGGATGGCAAGGTTATTAATGGCCATAATTCTGTTCTGAGAATTCAATTCAGTTTTTAATACCAGTCGTACCCTTCTATAGTACTCTTTACGCACTATTTCTTTCATTTTCTTATGGTGAATTCCTTCACTCTCATTTACACCTAGGTACTTATAAGCTTCTCCTTGTTCTAAATCTTTTATTGTTACAGCAGGGTCTAAACTAATAGAGGAAGTTTGTTGTAGCGATCCTCGTAAAACTGTAGCTTTAGCACATTTATCAAATTGAATTT